CTCCATCCTGGTTCCCCTCCATCCTGGTCCCCTCCATCCTGATCCCCCTCCATCCTGGTCCCCCTCCATCCTGGTCCCCCTCCATCCTGGTCCCCTCCACCCTGTCCCCCTCCATCCTGGTCTCCTCCATCCTGGTCCCCCTCAATCCTGGTCCCCCTCCATCCTGGTCTCCTCCATCCTGGTCCCCCTCCACCCTGGTCTTCCTCCATCATGGTTCCCCTCAATGCACCATCCATTCATACCTGACCTCCTCCATACCTGATTCCCCCACACCTTATCCCCTCCGTACCTGTCCTTCCTTCATACCTGATCTTGCTCCTCAGGGCTCCCCACCACATGGGGCCTCGTCACTCTGGCATGCCTCTGCAAGAGCCCTCTAGGTGGCTTGGCCGGTCCCCTCCCCCCCAGTGCCTTCCTCGCTCCTGCTCGGGCTCTGCCCCATCCTGCTTCCCGCCTGCTCGGGCTCCGGCTGTCCTACAGTGCACACCACAGATCATGCACAGGTGTGACACTCACACACTTGTGATGTGTGACCTTGGACCTGAGTTCCACAGTCCCTGCTGGGCTGTGGGGAAGCTCTGCTGCCTCCCGACGATCACCTTCAGAAGAGAATGTGCTCAGGAAGGGCTAAGGATCCATCCAGGTCACGGGGAACCTGAGGTCTTTCACCTCCAGGGCAGGTGTGCACTGTGATTACAGTAATGAAGCCGTCTCATTGGTTTAAAAAGTGACAGTTGCACCATCAGATGGTGTCCTAGAGGGCTGTGGGTGGAAGAGGAGGCATGTGACATTCTGATGCTGTGTGAAAGGTCAAGCCTGGAGGATGGGCTTTGGTGGCCAGCATACCCCAGCATCTAGCATAGCACAGGGCACACCGTAGGTTCTCAGTGAGTAGCACAGGGACGGCACAGCTCGCCGCTGGAACAACAAAGTGTCATGAGCTTCTGTGTGCACATGCCATCTGTTGCTGTGTGTGTGTGTGTGTGTGTGTGTGTGTGTGTGTGTCTCTAAGTCTGTGTGTCCCTGTGTCTGTGTGTGCTGTGTCTGTGTGTGCTATGTCATGTGAGAAAAGACACAGCTAGATGCACAGCGAAACACTGACTGAACACTGGCTGTGGGCACAGTTTTAACATAATCGTCTGCACCTTCTACAATTGTTTAGTGCGTTGCAAGGGAAGGCGACCAAGGCCAGTCCACTGGGCAAGGCCTGAGCTGAGGGTCATGTCTCAGGCCTGGCAGTGAGGCAGTCTGCTGAGCAGGGGTCCTCAGGATCGCCCTGCATTTTGGTGCAGCTAGGAGACTAGGTTCTGCTCGTTTTCCGTAAACCACTTCTGTCTTTGCTTCCAGAATCTGTGTGCTCAGTCCTGGCACCAGGGCCAAGGTGAGGCCCTGCCTTCTCTTGAGTTTGAACAGATTCCAGAATGCAGTCCCAGCATACACCACCACCCACAGGTCCTTACCTGTTGATCTCCAGAGTGTGCACGCCATACTTGCTCTCAATCCGGTATTTCCCTGGCTCACCTGCCTGGCAGATCAGGCTGCCATTTTTGTACCTGGTCAAGGAAACCTCTATTTTAGTTTAAAGGCAGACTTGTCTGCAACCTTTCTCAGACCCCACACTGCCCTCTACGCAGATCTGCTCTGCCAATGCCTGGCCCCTTCCTCAGCACCACACAGGGGATCCAGAAGGCATGAGGTCCATTTTTAGTTTGCTTTTTATATATTTTATATTTTTATTTTTATTTATTTATTTTGCAGTACTGGGATTGAACCCAGGTGCACTCTGCCATTGAGTTACCCCCCTTTTTATTCTTAACTGTGAGACAGGGTCTCACTAATTTGCACAGGCTGGCCTTGAACTTGAGATCCTCCTGCCTCAGCCTCCCAAGTAGCTGGAACACAGGCATGCACCACTGAGCCTGGCTCTGTTTGGGGTTCTCTTTTAGGCTGTGCTGCATCATTAGGGCTGTCCAGGCAACCTCTGACCTGCAGAAGGCCACCTCCAAACATCTGCTTGAGCCTTGTTAAGAGTTCAGAAGTTCATTTCATTAAAAAAACAAAACAAAAAAACTGTAGCTTGTGCTAGCTAGGATGCAGTCTGGCCTATCAGGCTGTGTCCCTGGAGCCCGTGGGGTGAACCCACAGCACTGACCCATGGCCAAGGAGGGCCTCCCCTGAAGGGCAGAACTCCCTGGTACTGACCCACCAGGGAACGCACACACAGATACTTGGTTTTGCAGCAGATGCTGAAGCAAGCAGGGTCTGTGGGGGGTGAAGATTCAGCTCTTCAGTTCTCATGCTGATTCCTACCACAGGCCAGACCCGTGGGCTTGGCGCCCAGAACCAGCAGTGGTGCTGAGGCCAACTGGGTGAGAGCGGGGCTTGCAAACACAGGGCGTGACAGGGAACTGCCTTCAAAATGCTCTGGAAGATGGGCTGAGTCAACGTCACTAAACGCCAGCACATTATTAAACGGAGACTTTGTGAGTTCCTGTTCACCTGTCTCCACCTCGTGCTTCTCCAAGCCCCCTTCCTGGAAGGAGACACGGTGGGACCTTGTCCCTCCACAGCAGAGCCCCTCACCATTGTACCACGGGCGTGGGGAAGCCCTGCACGGTGAAGCAGAGCCTCACGGACATCTTCTCCCAGACGGTGTGGGACCTCAGCCGCACCAGGATCTCAGGGGCCCTGCTCACACGCTCCTCAAACGCGTGTCTCTCCCACGCCATCTGGTCCTCCACCTGCCACACAGGAGCAAGAAGGGTCGGGGCAGCGCGGCATGGCTGGGCGCCAGGCACTCACCACCTGGGAGGAGGCCAACCGCGTCCACCCCGCTTCCCAGACCCCGGCTCCTCCTACCAGGTGCTGCAGGGCGTACTTGTCCAGCTTGTCCCGGGCCTGGGACCGCGCCAGGTGCACGTTCTCCTCCAGCTGGGCCAGCTCACTGAGGAAGCGCTCCCGCTTGGCCTCTCCATAGGCAGCCACCAGGGACTGGTACCTGCAGGTCCAAGAGGCTGTGTTAAGGTCAAGTGCAGAGAAGACCAGGTGGGCTGACCGGCCACAGGCCCTCCTGGACGCCCAGAGTGGGACGCGCCACCTGCACTCAWTCTGCCTCTTTCTTTTAGAGTGTATTTTGGGGAAGAAGTTGTGAAGAAGAGCATGTGTGTGATTTATGAAGAGAACCAGGCAGGAGGGACAGGCTCAGGTCTTCTTGGGCCACGACAGGCCTGACTGTCACAGCTGGCCATGTTCTAGAGACCTGGAGCAGCCGTGGCAAACGCCACACTCACACCTGGCCGCCTTGGGCATCGGGGAGCTGCGTGTGCTGGTTGGAGACTCCAGAGATGGAGGACTGCTGCAGGGCCAGAGGGTGGGGGGACTGTCCTTCAGGAGGGCCAGCCCCTGTTCTCATGTCCACGGAACTCGTGCCCAGCAGGCACTTCATAAAGACGGGGCCACTGAAGCCAAGAGGTGGCCTCTTCCTTGGACGAAGCAGAGGGCTCGGCTGTCTCCTAGGAGATCAGCAGTCAGAAGCTGCTGGACGAGAGCCGCTTCTGTGTTGGCCCTGACCTGACTGACGCCTGGGAATGTGGACCGGTGTGGGGAGCCTGGTCTCCTGGGCAGGCTGTGGTTTCTGAACCCATGTGAGACTCAGCTTTAAACAAACAGTCAAGAAAAAGTCTGTGTTCCAGAGAGGATAAAGCAGAAGACGTAGAGCCTCCGGTCCGTGAGGATGGAGAAGTGGCTGAGTGCTCACAGCCCGCCTTTGTGAGCCCCTCCGCTCCACCTGACCCCACGGCGCCAGGGATGTCCTCAGAACCAGGCCCTGCGTCCCGACCTCATCCCCGTCTTCGTCAGGCACCCCACTGGCCACCAGAATCGGCTGCTCTCGTTACCCCTGGGACTGCACCCCACTCACAGACGTCTCCCCACTGCACCCTCCTGTTGAAACTCTGTCCTCCCACGAAGCCCCTCCTGGCCCCAGCACTGCCCACGGGCCCCAGAGCTCTGCTAGTTCCTCTGTGGGCTTTATGCAGACAGCCTGTGTCCTTTGTCCTCCTCAGGAGGGACCTCTCCTACTACTGTCCCCAGTAAATGCCCGCACTAGGACTCGGGGGTACTCTGGTGCCCGTGGGGAGGGGCGGGTTGTGTGGGAGTCTGGGAAGGAGAAGCTGTGGAAGTCAGAGTTGGTGCTCTGCCATCAGAGGTGGCACCAGGCCCCAGAGCCAGGCCACCAGAGCTGGAGGGACCCTGTGCCCAGGGGTGGGGAAAGTCATCCAGATCAGAGGGACCATGGGTGTCCGCACCCAGGCGCAGGGCTCCCGTCCAAGGCCCTTCCCACAAACCCACRGGCCTGACTGCAGGTTGGCAGCTGCCCAAACCCCAAATAAAACTCAGACTGAGTGCTACATACTTGAGATCAGGATTCCAGAAAATTCCACAGCTTCTTCACACAGAGAGAGACACACAGCCAGCATCACTCGGCCCATGTTGACAGGCCTTCCTGTCACCTCTGACACATGGCCCCGAGTCCCCCGCCCGACTCCGTCTAGCCCAGATGTGCTGGGCCCCTGTCGGCCCGTCAGAGGACACCTCCTCACGCCAGGCGGGCCTCTCCTGGATCCTGAACGCTGACTCCCGCTTCTCCTGGGGCTCGCCCGCCGTCGGCTCCCAGGGCCTCTCCCGGCTCACCACTGCCTGCGTCCCTCGGCGCCTCTCTCCCTGCAGAGTGCGGCCTGGGTCCTGAGCATCCACGGCTGTGGGTCGGGGCACTGGCTTCACAGGTGCCTGAGACCCACCCAGGCAGGAGGCTGCTCCTGCTTCCCCCCTCCCGGGGCCAGCTCTAGAACGTGGGTCTGCAGAGCAGGGAGCGTGTGCCTCTCCAGGCCCAGTGAGTCCCTGAGTGACGGGGAAGGACCAGAAGTCCTGCCTGCCTCCAGGGTCAGGCTCCAAGCCGTGTGAGCCCTGCCCCTGCTCCTCAGACCAAGCACAGAGCCCAGGCCCGCTCCGCCTTGACAGTCGTGGTTCAGGACGAACGTGGGTCTGGAAGTTCCTCCCCCATCCGCCCCCGCTGGGCATGTAGAGAGAGTCTCTGCCCATCGGCCACCAGCTGAGCTGGACTCTGGCCTGTGGGAAGAATTGACCAGACATCGCTGGTGCGTCCACTCTAGAGGGTGAGCCCCGTAACAGCCAGAACTCRGGGGCCACCCTTCGCCAGCCCAGAAGCGAAGGCATCGGAGGGCACTTCTGATCTGCCATGTCCCCAGGACGCCTGAGCGCCACACAGTGCACAGTGCCCCTTGGGCATCTGGCTTGGTTTGGGGGAAGCCGGGGCCTCAGACCCCCTGGGCTGCCGCCCCATCACTGGGCGACTTCCCCAGCCCTGTTCTGAAGTTCAAGACAGTCTCCTGCTAAGTCTCTGAGGCTGGCCTCCAACTTGCAACCCTCCTCCCTCAGCTGGGATCAGAGGCCACCGCGGGRCCCCGTATTTGTTTCACATGAGCAGCAGCACGACCTGAGGATCCCTGACGCCACCTTGGTCCAGGTTGGTGAACTGTCATCTGCGCGTAGGTAAGGAATTCAGCGCTGGGATAACACCTGGGCTAGTGTGTGAGGTGAAGTGTGAAAACAGGGCACAGTTCACTTCACCTCTCAGCCCCGCTCACACACGAGCACAGCGAGCATCCGAGGGGAATCACCAGGCCCCGGCAGCTCATCAAACCCCGGCAGCACGCACTTGCCTCCTAAGGAGGCGGGATCACTGTCCAGGTGCCTCACATGGAAAAGTGCATGTGGGATCTGAGAGTGGAAGGCTACACGGCCAGGAAGAAGGACAGCAGGATGGGGGTCAGTACAGGGCCAGCTCCACCATGTCCACATGGACAGCAGCCATGGCCATATGCTCACCCATGGCCCTTCCCGTGGTGAGCTACCAGTGGGAAACCTGAGGAACAGGAGTTCATGCCCTCGGTGCAAGGTCACACGGAAGAGCAACGGATGAAATGACATGGTACAGCTCACGTCTTCTCTGTCCAGTTCCGAGAACTTAAATCTAGATAGAAGAAACCTTTTAAATACTTAAATATGCAGATTGTTTTTGTGTCTACATTTTGAAGTGATTCCTTAATAAAAGAAGTTTTCATTTGGCAATAAAATCCATCTACAGGGCAAATTTGCCAAAGACACTTAAAAGGTAACTCCAAGCTTTGAAAATAGGAGCTTGTCTTACAGCTACCTATTGGCTGATTGAACAAGTCACTCCATCACAAAACAATTTTCAAAAGGAGCCACGTTAACCCAGTCTCGTTTTTCCTTCAGGCTCCGTGTTGTCCACAGACATAGAGAAAATCCTTAAGCAAGAGTAGGGAGCTGGAGGGAAATATCACGGTGTAAAGTATCCATCTGTTTATTTTGTTCTTTAAAGACCAAAGCAATGCCACCAGCCATTTTTCCACACCTGGGATTAGTTTTAGGACTGACATTGCACTCCGTCCTCTCTCTCCTATGACGCTCTGTCCGCTGAGCCAACTCCACAGAAATGCAAAGTACGACGATTTATGGAGCCCCTCTGACCTGCAGTTTCCACTGGGACGACTGCTCAGGCCCTGGCTCCCTCTTTGGAAGGTGACCTTGCTGGGATCAGCCACTGTTCCTCACTAGCCAGAGAGGCTGGGAGTGGAAATCCAGACTCCATCTCCAGCGGTTGGCTTGGCCGCTCCAGAGTGAGCAGACGACTCCTGCAGAGGCCCTCCAGCCCCCCTGGACCTGAGCTGCAGCCCCCAGGCTACAGAGCAGGAGACTCCCCCAAGCAGCCCCTGCTGGGGTTCACAGAGTGCACGCAGCAAAGGCTCAACATGGGCATGGAGAAGTCAGGGTCCACCCACTGCCAGGCCAGTCCACTCCAGTGCCACCCTGGGCGTCCAGCCTACAGCTCGCTGAGTCTGCTCTGACCACACTGAGCAGCCGCGGGGCCGCTGGGCAGTTACCTTCTTTCATTCTTATGCTCCTCCTCCGAGGCGCTCAGCCGCTTGGCACAGAGCTGGCAGGTTGTCCCTCCGGTCAAGGTCTGGCCAGACGCGCTCTGTGCGGATGACTGCTGCTTCAGGGACTTCTGGGATGACCGGGAGGACGCCCTCCTGGAGAGACACGGGTAACAATTACCTGTCCCGGAGATCGTTGACACGCATCCCAGCAGGCACCACTGGCTTTTCATACACCCCAACCGTCCTGGCCACACACACATGTGCACACAGAGCGCACTCCCACACAGGCACGCACTCACATGCACACACGGTACACACACTAATACACGCTCACAAACACGGACATGCGTGCTCACAGGGACACACACACACACACACACATGTCCACACATGCACATACTCACACACAAGTGCACACCTGGGGCACACCCGCATGCACACGTGTGCTCTCCCACCTGCCTACACATGAGTACTTGCACACATGCACAAACCCTAACCTGTATCACGTCCTCTCTCCCTCCACATCCCCCAAGTCAGGTTCCCCCATCTCCCGGGTCCAGGGCCAGTCACTGCCTCACACACACCCTCACACACTTGCCTGAGCCCCTCTGGGTCTGAGGCCGTTCCCTGCAAGCTAGTCACTGCCTCCCAGGGTCCCTCCTGGATCAAAGTCCTGAGTATGTGCACCTCAGGGATCCGAATCTCCCTGCGGCACTTAGGAGGGGCTGCAGATGTTTGACTTCTGGTTACAGCGGATGGCAACTCAACAGGAGTGCCACAAGTGATCTAAATATAGGGTGTGGGTGACATGTGGCAGGACCCACAGCTCAGTGCCAGGCCAGAGGTCTCTTCTCCCTTCTAGCCAGCCCATTAAAATCACAGAGATGCTGCCATCAAACAGCATGGGACAGGCATGTGCCACTGCCCAGAGATGTCCTAGAGCTGCGGCCAGCTGCATCTGCAGGAATACCGTCTCCTGCCGCAGGACTATCTCGATGTAGAGAGCCATTGACATTGGCTCCACCTGCCAGTATGGTCCCATTGATCTCGGTCCCTCTGCTCTCTAGTTGGGTGACTTTCTAGATCCTACTTCTAGAAGACACAGAGGAAGAGCAAAACTGATGAGCTTGTACCAAGAGTCCCTGGGGTCGTGGTCTCCACCAGGGGCTTAGCACCAGGCCCAAGGACCCTGCAGGATGCCGTGCAGTCACACAGAGGACATGTGCACCAGGGGACACTGCCATCCCGGCTCTCCCACAAAGCAGACGTCACTGGGGTCGGGGGACGAATGCTTCCTACCCGACACGCGGGCCCGCAGGCAGAAGCAGGCAAGTCTAGCCGGCGGCGACTGACCTTTTGGATGCATACTCGTCCAGCAGGTACCTGGTCTGGATGTTACGGTAGGACTGGTCAAAGTGCCGGTGTCTCTTCTGGTAGAAGGGCAGTGCCACCAGCGACATCGTGCGTGCTCCTGGGGAGGAGTCAAAGTCAGCCCAGCTCTGTCTCTGGGGAGTCGGCCTGCTGAGGCGTCTGCATTCACGTCTGCATCATGGGACATGCGCTCTAGGCGCAGCCCACGGGGGAGCGAAGCAGACCTCACAGGTGCGAGTCATGGGGCCTGGCGTCAGGAGCCCAGCCAACCGCCCTGGGCCCCAGCTCCTCTCTGGCTTTCCTCCACCAACACTGGAGGATGGGGCTGTCTGCCTCGTCCGACTGTGAACCCCATGTTTATAGAGCACCTGGTGTGTTCATGGCCCTGTGAAGAGCAGCGTCAGTGCTGAGGAGAAAGATGATTAAAACAGGGGCTGGGCTGGGGCTCGGGTAGAGCGCTCACCTAGCCTTACGAGGCCCTGGGCTCGATCCTCAGCACCCCGCACAGATAAATAAATAAAATAAAGGTACTGTGTCCACCTACAACTAAAATAATTAAAATATGAAAATAATTAAAACACAGATCGAGAAGTCAACACATTCTTGGAACACAAAAGGAGAAGAGGCGRAGGCCGGGGAGGTGGAAATACCCTGGGAAGGGAGAGGAGAGGGCAGCCGRGAGGCCGGGCAGCAGGGAGCACAGAGGCCAGGTGGGATGAGGGGTGGCTGGCCGGACAGCGGGGGGATCTGGGGAACGAGGGAGCCACACACAGGCAGGACAGCAGTGCAGAGGGCCTCTGTGGGGAAGCTGTGGTGTCCACGCAGGGCAGGCTGGAAGAGGCGTCCTGGTGCCTCTTGTGTTGACACCGACATTGAGTTAACCTTCCAGTGTGTTTGCCCAAATGTGGCCCACATCACAGGACAGGAGGTGCTGTCCCCAACAGGGAGTGCCCACTGGCTCCACCACGCTCTGAGGAGGGAGAGGCCCATGTCTTTAGGGCGAGGACCAGCGCCTGTCAAGCTCCTGCACCATCAGCACTCGACCTTGCTGACTCCACCTGACGTGTGGTCCGGTGGCCTAGAAGTCCCCAAAGGCTCCGTGAGTACAAGTGGGGCACAGCTGGGGCCGAGCTCGCTCACTTCTCTTCACAGTGAGGCACAGACCCGCTAAGGTGTCCCCCAGACACGGAGAAAGGTGAGGCAGGCTTGGCCGCATCCGTTCCCAGATTTGTCCTTCTCCTCATCAGGACGTCAAACTCAGGAGCCACCAAGTGCTCTCCACATGCTGTCACCTCCCTGTGCAAGTTCACCCCGGTCACTGCGAGCACCTGCCACGTGCTGTCCAAGCCCAGGTCCTGGAACCCCTGGACCTGAAGGGGGACCTCTCAGAGCTCTGGCCCTGCAGCAACCCTGACCCAGGCACTGACCCCTGTGCCAAGCTGCCCTGGACTCCACTCCTCCTCAAGCTTCTGCCCAGCCAGACATGGCAGCAGGACATCAAGCCATGTCCAGGCCTGAGCACTTCCCTGCTGCCACCTCCTAACTCAGAGCTTCCCTGGCCAGGCTGGGATACCTCCCCTCCCGCACTGTGTGTGGCGAGACCCGGAAGCACCTTCCTTGAGCTCCGTGTGGGCTCTGTGGTGCAGCCTGGGCAGGTGTGCGTCAAGCAGAGGGTCCTCAAGAGAACGTGCCCGGTGCCACTGTGCTGCCAGGCTGGGAAGGGGCCCTCCGCCCCTGCCACCCTACAGAGAACCCGGCCTTCCTGCAGAAGAGGTCTCAGCTGTGCTACGTGTCGCACAAGTGCCCCCCAAGGCCAGGAGAAGCCTCTCCTCAAAGGGCAGTTCATGGTGGAGCCCATGGTGCAGGGCTGTTGAGAAGCCCGACTCCCCAGGGACCTGGGAGCGGAGCCCTCTGTCACTCCGGGGCCCTGCTCCATTCCCTGTAAAGCCAGAGAGCTGCACTAGGTGGTAACTAGATCCCTGAAGCCCCAGCCATGTGTGTGTCCACCGCCATGTTAAATAACACTGGTGGAACCCTGCCCTGTGTGAGCTGAAGGTCCCCAGGAACACCCCCCACCCAGGTCCTGCAGAGCCCAGGCGTCAGCTGGTCTTCTGACCACTCCCGGCCACTTTCTGACTCGGCCTAGCTCTGGGGCCACGCACAAGTGCTCCCCACACGACTGGGGACTCTGACATCACCCTGAAACCCAAGCCTGTGCTGGAGCCTGGGACTGAGGGCTGGGGATGCCTGGTCCTAAGCCCTTCCTGGGAAGAGCCCAGTTGAACTCCTCTTTCATGCAGCCAGGCACCGCTTCAATTTGCAAAGACATTTCAAGTTCAGAGCYGTTTATTTCCATTTGGTGGAAGAAAGTATTGATTCTACAGCTGAAGATGTGGAAGTCCAGAGTCACACCCAGAGGGAAGGCCACTCAGGGGGGAGAAAGGCAGGGGTTTGGCACTCGGAGAGGCCCTAGTGACTAAGCCCTGGGGTCCCGTGACGGGCGTTCTCCTGTGCCTCCACCCCGGGAGTTACGTGGGCCAGTGATTTTTCCAAACTGGTTATCAAAAATCATGACAGCACAAAAGTCCTTAAAAACATAGGGGTCAATCAACTATAGCTTGATGTCTGATCTCTGGCAGCTAAATTTTCCAGAACTCCTCCAGGAACCTGCCAGAGCCAGAACGTGAGCTCCAGGAGTCCAGCCTCAGAGCTACAAAGTCCTCCTGCTACTGAGAAGTCTGACTAATCTCACCCTAATGCTGGAATAGGGCAGAGTCAGAGAAACTGGATCCCACACTGCCTCCTGCACCAGCTGGCTCTCCGGCAACCAGGGAGCCACCCTGCTGTCACGGGCATGAGAATTCAATCRACAGTTCTCAAAATTCCACAGTTCCACTGCAGAGGCCCCTTGCTGGGACCAAGAACGGCATGTGCATTCCCACAGATCCACTGCTGACCTGCTGACAGTGACACTCTACACCCCTCCAGAGCACTCGCATCTTACCACTCTGCCCAGTCTGCCACTTGGACAGCTCAAGAGGTCAAGGTCTGGGCGCACGGGACTGAAAGCCCCTCCAGAGGGAGGAAGGGGCAGGTCGGTGCAGGGAGTGGGCAGCCACCAGCAGGTCAGTGCCAGGCTCCCGAGAGTCTCTCTGAGGACCCTGTTTACGAAGACACCTCTGAAGAGGTGCACGCCACGTGCTCCAGGCTCCTATCTTCCTTGTACTCAGTCAGGAAAGAATGCGAGGCAGGGAGATAGGGAATGTCAGCCGCCTCTCTCCTGCTGGATGTCCTGCCTGGCCTCAGGCACAGCTGCCAGCCCTCTCCTTTCCTGGAAGCCTAACTGCCAGCCCTGCAGAGTGCACAGCTCCTCACGGGGCTGAGCAGGCAGCCGGGAGGACCTGGAGAAGACCTTCACCGGAGCCAGCCTCTGAGTCCCTCCGGGAAGCGGCCACCCCTGGGTCTAAGCCAAGTGACCCTCCTCTCCCTTCTCCCTAAGAACACCTCCCCTTTGCTTCATACCTTCTGCAAATCTGCCCTCTCCCCCTTTTCATTTCTGAGACCCTCGTGACAACCAAAGGTGTTGGTCAACAGAGGGACATCCGTGCAATGCTGCAGATTGCAGAAGAGACCCGCTTCTCGGAGGGGTGGAGAACAGCATGGCAACACAGGCCAGCACTGGGAAGCGAAGAGGATTCGCGGAGCACAAAGCCTCGCCACAAAACCCAGACCCCCGAGTTGATGCTCTGCTTCCCTGAAGGGAGTCTTGGACAGAGCAGCCTGGGAGAGCTCACCCGGCACCAGGTCCACCCCAGGGTGGCTCTTCCCCCAAAGCCACCGCCCAGCAACGGTGAGACGACGGGACACTTACCCAACTACAGGAGGTGACAGAGGAGAGAGGCTCTTGCCGCCCGGTCACCTGGCTTCCTAGGCTCTGGCTCTGGAGCCCCGTCCTTCCTCCCATTTATGGCCTGAGGAGGCGCTATATTTAGGCACATGGGCCTGCCTCTCCCAAATGAGAGCCGCATCATAAATCACTGGCCTGGTCTCAAGAGGGAAACGTCCGGCTGTAGGGGGAATCAAATTAGAAAGTGTGAAGTGTCCATCCTGTGCCCCAGCATGTACTCTCATTCCCAGGAAGCAGAGGGGCTATCGGCTGCTGACCAGAAAGGATAGCCACCGACTTCCCTGCTGGTGGCTGTCCACACTCGCCTGTCTCTGATTAAGTGCTCAGTCCTCTTGTGCTGCAGGTTCCCTGGCACGTGCACCCTAACCCAGGGTGAGTCTGTACAGGCCTGATGAGCTCTCCCACCATCCACTCGCACCTCACCCCAGGGGCTGATGAGCTCCCCCACTGTCCACTGGCACCTCCCCCCAGGGCTGATGATCTCCCACTGTCCACTGGCATCTCCCCCCAGGGCTGATGA